GGGGAGCTTCGGTTACTGTCATCCATTGTGGAAGAGGTGAGTTTCAGGGGAGGGGAAATGGCAGACTCATCATTTTAAACCTGAGCGAGAGCAGGGCCTAGAAGAAACATTAATTACTGAGAAATGCCAAACTCTGCCAGAAAGTTTCGTCTACTATTATTTTTCTGTGACTCAGCCTTAAACATTATAGACTTTAACAAGTAGGCAATTTTTTGATACCTGATGCTCATTCCTCTCCTCCCACCATTCTATGAGGGAAAGCCAGCACTTTTGTGGGATTTTAGGATCTCTCCAGGAAGGTGTTCAGACCCTATGGCTTAGCTGCCTTGTTCTTTTGCAGCTGCTGGATCAGTGCCTGGCACCTGACACATCTGGGGATGGTACAGGGTGTGACAACATGACCTGCATCATCATTTGCTTCAAGCCCCGAAACACGGCTGAGCTCCAGCCAGAAAGTGGCAAGCGGAAACTGGAAGAGGTGCTCACCTCTGAAGGGGTGGAGGAAAATGGCAACAGTGACAAGAAGAAGGTCAAGCGGGACTAGCTACCTCCTGCCTACTGAGACTGTTTTCTGAGCCCTCTGGACCGAGACTGAGTTTTGTCTTTTTCCTTTAGCCTTAGCATTGGGTATGAGGTGTGCAGGAAGAGCTGGGTGGCTTTACTCAGCCCATTCCAGAGGGCTCTCCCTCCACGCAGCAGCCTGGCAGCCTCCTCGTTGCTCCTTCGGGCTCATCACCAGTTCTGTGCCTGTGCTGTTGTTGGAGGGAAAGACTGACAGTTCTGGTTTTTACTCTGTGAACACTTTATTTAAGGACATTCTTTTTTTATTGGCTCCATGGCCCCCAGCCACTTGCACCCACTCTGTTGTACACTTTCAATCAACACTTTTTCAGACTAAAGGCAAAAACCTAATCTTGCCCGTGGTGTCCTTTTTTTCTAGTGCTGTCTTGTTAGGGCAAAGTGCCCTCGTCCTGGGGGGGTGTGTGGGGGAGTGTGTGGGGGTGTGAGTCTGTGTGTGAAGGCCGGGGCACTAAAACTCTGGAACCAGTGGCTGGCCAGCCCAGCCTCACAGCTCAAAATCCTCCTTTCAGTAGTGAAGTCCCAGGTCCGCCTGGGTGAGGTTAGGACCGTCCCTGCAGTCTCCTAAATCTGGAGGCTGGCACAGCCTTTCTATTACCTTACTTGCCGGCCTGGATTACAGCTGGCCCCTGATTGGTTTACTCGCTTCTACATCACAATCACTTCCTGGTCACGCTGTGGTAGTGCTAACCGCTAATTCCTCTCGCGACTACGCATCCCGTGTGCCTTTGCGGAAGCGGAAGCGAGTACGGAGGTACCAGCTGGTCTCCGTAGGGGGGGTTGGGGGCTCCATGAATGGAAGCGGCGGCGGGAGCGGCTTGAGCTGAGCTCCGAGACCAGGGCCGGGGGCTGCCCGGGGCCCGCGCCGCTGCGTGGGGACAGCCCTCGGCCTCTGAGAGGGGGCGGGGGACAGGCAGGCCGAGTTGGGAGGGGCGGGGCCGGGCGGCCGAAGGCCAGAGGCGCGTCGGGCTGGAGCCGGTCACGATGCCCCGAAGGAAGCAAAGCCACCCTCAGCCCGTGAAATGTGAGGGGGTCAAAGGTCAAGGGTCATGGGCTGCGGAGGGGGTGGGGTCAGTGGAATGGGTTCTGGCTGGGACAGAGGGGGATTCCTGAGGGATGGGGTGGGCGAGCTGGACTCTAGCTTCCTATGGAGGTTCTGAGGGAACTCCAGATGGGCGAGTACGGGAAGTACGGTCCAGGAGGGCCGGCTTCCTGCGGCGCGGATGATGGGCACAGCTCTGCGGGGAAGAATCCACAGCCCCCTCCCTCCTCAGTGGACACTGAAGACTCCCTTGAGGAAGGACCTGGGGCTCTGGTGCTGGAGAGTGATTTGCTGCTAGGCCAGGATCTGGAGTTTGAGGAGGAAGAGGAAGAGGAGGAAGGTGACGGCAGCAGTGACCAGCTCATGGGCTTCGAGAGAGATTCAGAAGGTGGGTTTGTTTAAGAATTTATGGCCGCGGGGATCCCAGCCCTTGAAGGGGCAGGTTACAGTTTAGCGCCAGTGTGCAAAAGCACCATTTCCTGCCACAACCTAGGGCTGATTTAGTGTAGCTGTAGCTACAATTCCTTTGCCAAATGGTCTCTTTAACTCCATTTCTCTACACAACTTTCTGTAGCTTAGTCAAATTCTGGGGCCTCATTCAAAGGCAGTATGAATAGCACTGAGTGAATCACATGGAATAACTGCTTAGAAGTAAATGCCCTTTTAATAACCTTGTCCCTTTCTGTGGCCTGTTCTTGTGTACCTACTTTTTAAAGGTCCAGAGAAGCAGTTTTAGTGTTTATGGTTAATGTAACTCCCTTTAACATGCATATGCTACTTTTGTATTGGGTTTTAAATTTCTACTCACATGTACCCTCTACTACATTCAACACTTAGAAGAATCTTTGGACCCTGAGATCTTAGCATCACTCCACTAACATGCCATATTACCTACTCACTCACGAAGGATGTTTTTGAACATCATTTGAGGGAATCTTTGTCAGGAACAATCCACCCTTTAAATGTAACAGTGGTATGACACCTGGTACTGTTTCAACCTCTCCAAAATCTGCCTCACCCAAGAGATTTTTTGTAACCCGTGCCATACTAAAAGGGGCTATATGAATACAGAGTTTAGAAAACAATCTCTCAGGCCTCTGGCTTTTTGTATTTTTCCTTTTCTTGAACCAAAAATCAGCCTGTTACTCATTTCAGACTATTGTCCACTGTGAGCTGAGCCCCTAGACCCTTTTCCATTCACTTGGAGCAGGTACAGTTCATGCTGTCACCAGTAGTTCAGCCTCAGGAGACAATTCATGTTGGATTTTCTAGAGTTGCTGCAGGACAGACCTCACTCTAGGAGGGCATTTAATGCCCTCATTATTGAAGCTAAGAGGATAGGTGAGAGTGGAGGACAAGCAATTGGGGAAGACCACAAGTGGCAAGGGGATTACTGGGGTCTGTTCTTACCCCATGATGATGTCCCTTCTCATGTCTGTCTCACCAGGAGACTCTCTGGGGGCCAGGCCTGGGCTTCCCTACGAGCTGAGCGACGACGAGTCTGGGGGCGGCCGGGCACTAAGTGCTGAGAGTGAAGTTGAGGAGCCAGCCAGGGGGCCAGGGGAGGCCAGGGGTGAGAGGCCAGGCCCAGCCTGCCAGCTGTGTGGGGGGCTGACAGGTGAGGGGCCGTGTTGTGGGGCAGGAGGGCCGGGTGGGGGGCCCCCGCTGCCCCCACGGCTACTGTACTCATGCCGCCTCTGCGCCTTCGTGTCCCACTACTCGAGCCACCTGAAGCGGCACATGCAGACACACAGCGGGGAGAAGCCGTTCCGCTGTGGCCGCTGCCCCTACGCCTCAGCCCAGCTCGTGAACCTGACGCGGCATACCCGCACCCACACTGGCGAGAAGCCCTACCGCTGTCCCCACTGCCCCTTTGCCTGCAGCAGCCTGGGCAACCTGAGGCGACATCAGCGCACCCATGTAGGGCCCCCCACTCCTCCCTGCCCGACCTGTGGCTTTCGCTGCTGTGCCCCACGACCAACCCGTCCTCCCAGTCCCACAGAGCAGGAGGGGGCATTGCCCCAGCGGCGTGAAGGTAAAAAGCAAGGGGCCAAAGAACTGGGGACTACTGGGGTGGGTGGCCGTAGGGATACTTGGATTCACAGCCCAGGTCTCACTGCTCCCACAGATGCTCTGCTCCTTCCAGATTTGAGCCTCCATGTGCCACCAGGTGGTGCCAGTTTCCTGCCAGACTGTGGGCAGCTGCGGGGCGAAGGGGGTGGCCTGTGTGGGACTGGATCAGAACCACTACCAGAGCTGCTGTTCCCTTGGACTTGCCGGGGCTGTGGACAAGAGCTAGAGGAGAGTGAGGGAAGTCGGCTGAGAGCTACCATGTGTGGGCGCTGCATGCAAGGAGAGGCTGGAGGAGGGGGTGCTAGTGGGGGACCCCAGGGCCCCAGTGACAAAGGCTTTGCGTGTAGCCTCTGCCCTTTTGCCACTCACTATCCCAACCACCTGGCCCGGCATATGAAGACGCATAGTGGCGAGAAGCCCTTTCGCTGTGCCCGCTGTCCCTATGCCTCTGCTCATCTGGATAACCTGAAACGACATCAACGTGTCCACACTGGAGAGAAACCCTACAAGTGCCCCCTCTGTCCCTATGCCTGTGGCAACTTGGCCAACCTCAAGCGCCATGGTCGCATTCACTCGGGTGACAAACCTTTTCGGTGTAGTCTCTGTAACTACAGCTGCAACCAGAGTATGAACCTCAAACGCCATATGCTGCGGCACACAGGCGAGAAGCCCTTCCGTTGTGCCACCTGCGCCTATACCACAGGCCACTGGGACAACTACAAGCGTCACCAGAAGGTGCACGGACATGGTGGGGCAGGAGGGCCTGGCCTCTCTGCCTCTGAGGGCTGGGTCCCACCTCACAGCCCATCCTCGGTTTTGAACTCTCGGGGTCCCACAGCTCTGGGCTCTGCTGGTAACCGGACTCTTCACACAGACTCACCCTGAACTGGGTCCTCTAGAGCTCCAAGAACTGGCCCTAAACTTCCTGTATGTTTTCTACAGACTGACGAGAAGCAGTCACTTCCTTCCACCCCCGCTGGCCAGGGGATCCACACAGACTAACCTAGATGCTATATGGACCAGGGGCTTGCCTTGATGGATACACTTCACAAGCTCAGTGAGGAAGAGCCCTGTGTTCACCTCCCCTGCTCCTAGGGGCTATGGAGTGACTGGCTGGGAGACTGCTCAGCCTCCGTCTGTTTATTTAACTTATTTCAGTGCTTTATAATAAAGGAAACACTAACAAAAACGTGTATGCTGAGTTAGCACTGGCAAACACAGCTTGACCTTCCCCAAACAGTCCTAAAAAAACAAAACAAAAACAGTCCTGCAATGAGGGGTAGCAGGGGCAGTGAGGGAACCAGAGGTAGGCAGCAATCAGGCTGAGTTTAATGACTGGGAGCTGGGCCAGACCATACACAGACCTTTGCCCGTCCCCTTGGCTCATGGCCCTGAAAAGCCAGAAACAGTTGAAGAGAGCTGAAGTTCCTCAAGGCAGGTAGCCATGGTCCCTTGGATTTTGTGCAAAATACTAAATGCTAATTTGGCATTGAGGGCCAGCATGGAAAAAGATAAAACGGGCAGTCCTTTGTGCAGCCAGCCCAGGGTGGGAAGGAAAGTGGGTTAGGAGCCCCCTGGTCAAGGGGACAAAGGGAAGGTGGGAGGTGGAAGAAACCCCCAGTTTAGGGGGATACAGGCACAGGGCAAATTTCTGTATAATCCTCTAGGGTAGAGGGCAGACATCCAAGCAGTGGAGATTATAGGTCCTCATCTCCAATGCCCTCGAAGGCGAAATTGCCATGGACATCACTGGCACTGGCATCTGTGCTGGGACTGCCAATACCCCGCAAGCTCACAGCACTCAGCTTGCTCTGTAACAAAGGCAGGATGGAGTCAGGGCTCAGGCCTCGTGAGGCGTCCCTGGTAAACACCAGCCTCATCAACCCTCATAGATAAAACTCACTGAAAGTTTGACCATGGACTCCCGGCTTGCATCAGGTGATTCCTGGAGAAGAGGAGGCAGAGATATTAGAGTCTCATCAGGGGAGCTAGACACAAGGCCGGATGCCTGGGTACTGACCAACAAGTAACAAGTGATACTTACAAGCAGTGGTGGGGACTTTACTGCTTGCTGACTGTCTGAGCGCCTCAGGGTGCCCCCCACCCGCCGGCGAAGCATCTGGGATGGAGATATGAGGTGCTGAGGACAAGGTCTTTAGAATCCCAACACTTCCTCTGCCCACCAGTAAAAGCCTCGGACTTGGAACAAAAAGCAGAATGAACACAACCATTCAGCTACTTAGTGCACACTTACCTTCCTAATACTGCCACCAGATTTCTTCACCATTAATTCATCAACCATGGACTGCAAGCAGATGCTCATCATGATAGCCTGTAGCAAAAAGAGAACTAGAGAGGTCAGTCTAGCCCAGCATCCCCAAGACAAGAGCTCACACTCACTAGAAACCCTAGACTTGTTTGTCTAAGAGAGATGCGACAGTGAGGCCCAATGAAGCTTAATGGAAGGCTTAGACCTGGGGGCTGGTGATGGTGACCCACTGAAGTCGGTCCTTGCTCATGAGGTATTCGAAAGCCAGCTCCAGGCGCACTTCCCCTCTGCCTCGGCCCGGGCTGCTTGTGCCTCCAGTGGGCAATGGCACCTAACAGAGAGGAACCAGGCAGAGTTTATCCCAACTAGCATGTCTCCTTCCTGAGGATCAGCTCAGCCAGGCCCCCTTCCCAGTATACTTGTCCTTCATATCCCTACTTACAGAGGAGGTAACCCGCCAGCACCGCATGCGGGTCACTCGAAAGGAACCTTCACGGAGCTGCTGGCCAGGCAGGCGGAGCTGGAGGCTGAGCTCACTGTTGCCTGCGCTCACCACCACAGGACAGTCCTTCTCGGGAAAGTCAGCCACACAGGCATCAAAGCGCAAGTAGCCATAATGCCGCAGGGTCTGGGCCAGACGCAGGAACTGAAATGCAGTCATATCATGGGGCAAGTCAAGGTTGGGGAGTGGGGCAACTTGGAAAAAGCAAGCCAGGGAAAGGAGGCGGGAAAGAAGCTTAAGTGGGGCTCACCTCCTTCTTAGAGACCTTCTCTTGCAGAGACTTGAGCTGCCGATGCTGCTCCTTGGTGACCAGGATCCACCCACGCTCAATATCTGACACAGTCTACAATGGACAAAAGGAATGGCGGAGTAAGAACAAAATGTCGAAACGCGAATCCCTAGCCGCACTCAACCAAGATCTCTGCAGTGAATTCTTGATCTTAATAACAGATAAACCTGGGGAGCTCTGGTGGCCTAGTGGCAAGGAGCTGCAACTACAATCCCAGAGGCGCATGGTTCGAATCCACCAGATGCTCTGCCGGGGAAGGAGGGGCAATCTCCTCCTGTACCAGTCAGATCTGATTTGACGGTACACGCACACAAAAATAATAAAATAAAAATATTTAAAAAAAAAAAGATTGTGGATGAGTCTTCCTCCAATCTTGATGGTATATTCCTCCTCATCCACATTTAAAAAAACAAACAAACAAACAAAAAAACAGATAAACCAGGGAAAGGGCTATGTAGGTGCCCTGATTGTATTCTAGGAACTTCCGCATGAACTAGGAGCAAAGATGTGAAGGGAATTTTCCTGGAAGAGTGGCATACCATTTTCAGGGGAAGGGTTCTGAAGCAACTCCAAGCTCACCTGAGCATAGAGCAGGTTCAGGCCAACCCGATTCTCCATGACATCATCATCATAGGCAGAATCCCAATAACTGTGAAGCCAAGTAACAGAAAGGGGTAATGGGGGTAAGCTGGGGTAAGGAAAGTGGTGTAATAGGGATAAAACTGGAACAATCTGGAACTTTTATGGGGCTAATGTGGTATAGTCGGGGTAGGGGGGAAGCTTAGGAGGCTCACTAGAAATACCCTTCTCTATTCTTTGTCCAGATTTTTCTGTCTTAATAATTCAACCCAGAACCCTCCTCCTGCTCCAAGCCCAGCCCTGACCTTTTCCTTAGCACAATTTTATACTCTTGACTTCGCAGACTAGTAACAGACACGTAAGGCAGCTCAAACTCTTGTAACTTCCGCACAACTATGGGTTTGGAAAAAAAAGGGAAAATGTCAGGATATTCAAGGGAATGGAAATCAAGAGAGAAATTCCAGAAAATGCCCAATTCTGGTCCCTATATAGAGATGGTACAGAACAGTAAAGTCCAGAGCAACTCACAAGAAAAGGATCCATCCTCTTTTTCTCGAACTAGAAAAAGACTAAAGTATCCAATCAAATCATCTGGAAGATCCAGCTTGGCAGCCACTGCCTAGAAATAAGGATAAGCAGTACAGCTTATCATACATGCTGGGTTCCAATCACTCCCAAGTAGGGGCCTTGAAAGAGGGAGGAGAATAGTATAGAACAAGGTCCTCACCTCTAAGACATCCTCAGTTTGATCTGATGTTAGCACAGTGACCAGAACTTTTTGTCCATTGCTGAGCAGCACTTCCAAGGAGACTTCTTCTGTGGGGACCTGCTGTGTCTCCTGATGGGGAAGGAAAAACACCACCTTATTAAACCTGTCTAGGGGCCAGCTCCAGCCTACCCTCTCTAAGTCTGTGGTGTTTCTTTCTCAGTTACAAGCTTAGTTTCCTAAATTTTATCCTTGTCACATGTCAATGACAAAGTACTCCTGAAGAGAGAAAAGTACTTCCTGAAGGGGATCTCTGGTGGCCTAGTGGCAAGAAGCTGTACTGCAATCCCAGAGATACACAGTTCAAATCCGCCAGAGAAGGGACAACTTCCTCCTGTACCAGTCAGATCTGGTTTGACGGTACATGCACAAAAAATAATAATAAAATTTAAAAAAAGTTTTTTTTTTTTAAAAAAAAGTACTTCCTGAGTTCCTGAAAGAATTCTGTAAAACTGACAACAGCAGGAAACAAAGACTTAATCCAAGCAAGTACATCACAAGCCTCATTCCACCAAACCAGATAGATGACTCTTGCAGCCACTTAAGATAGCTTGGTCCTTTAATAATGTTCTTGCCTTAAATCCTTGTCTCACTCAAAGCCTTACCTGTTGTGCTCGACGCAGGAAACTATTGAAGGTCTCACTGCTTCCCAGCAGTGGGTCTTGCCGAACTGTAGAGGGGGGGAAGAAAGATGTTCCAGTAACTTAGGACACTTTCTTGGAGCCCCCCAGGTCATCTTCTTGGTAAGTGCCCTCCCGACCCCATTTCCTGGGCTGATGATGACCTGCCACATTCCCCAGCTGGCCTCACCTCACTCACTGTTTGCATAAATTCTTCACCTGCCCCACCCTTGGCTGCCATCTAGTTGGGTCCAGTCTATAGAACTAGGGAAATAACAATGATGTTAATCTAAAGCACATCAGATACAAATTAAGCTTTCCCCACCAGTCTAAACTTCTTTATGAGTATTTGGTGTTATACACTAGAATTGTTTGTGCCCAAATCACTCTGCTAGTATATACTTACACTTTCTTGCACACTATTTAGCTAATTAAATGACAGATTAAACAGGTTTCCCAGATCTAGAAGTGAGTTTAGGGTCTTCTACAGAACCAGCTGTTTCAGTCTCTTCCCAAAATCTTAAACATAGTCAGCCTAAAGTTCCTCCAACCACTCACCAGCTTGCATGTACTTCTCTAACTGCTCCCTCCTCTGTTCTACCTCAGCAGGTGTCAGAGAGAAAAGCTTCTTTGGGGGGAATGCAGGAAGCACATTGGCCCCATACTCCTTCCGGAGCTATTTAGAGAAAGAGACATACCCTTCAAATAAACACAGAAAATGAGAAGAGGAAATTCAGACGCATGATGTTCTCTTGGGTTCCCCTTTCTTTCCTCTAGCTCCAAGGAATTAATCTGGGAAGCAGTTTCCCCCGGCAGAGGTGGCATCTCAAGGGAGTTGCTCCTGTCCTACATACAAATTCTTTTCAACTTTACTATTTGTAAGTTAGACCTCTACAGTGTGGAGTGTTTGAATGAGGCCAAGGACTAGGGAGTTTACTGAGTATCTACCAAGACTGCTCACTGAACTATGAAAGGAAGCAAAACACTTTCTAAGGAATATTTAAGTGGAAAAAAAATCATAGCTAAGTATATGTTAGAACTTAGAGAGTTGAGGCAAATAAGTTAATTTTTCAACTGTGAGAACTAAGGCCTAAAGAGACTAGGTAATTTGCTCAGGGTTGCACAACTTTCAGTAGGGCCAGAATCCTCTACGGAGTTAAATGAATTATTCACCCTCTGGTGATAAAGGCAGAGAGAAAGGCAGCATTACAGATAACATGACAATAACTAGAACACAACACAGAGATGGGCCAATGAATACATAAGGAATTGGTGAGCGGTTTGTAGAAGCAGGGAAAAGAATTTCAAGTTGCAGCTCAGATGACAGAAGTAATGCGCTTTGGCAGTTGAGGAGGAGGTCGGTTTTCCCATGCCCAAAGGCTGAAAAGCAGTAAAAGAAGATAGAGAAAAGCAGGGGAGGATCTCGCACACTGAACTCTTCAGTGAGTCCCAAAGAAATGTCAGAAGATAAGATAAAAGTTCCGGATCTTCCCCTGCGGCAGTGATTACAGGAAACTACAGTCTAAGATAAAAGGGAAAAGGAAAAATAATGAAGACACTGATGCCCGGGTGTGGAGGAAAGGGCGTGAGGCTGCCCCACCTGCTCGTGCAGCCCCAGGAGCTGACTGTAGCGCACCCGACAGTGCAGGACTCCATTCACGTGAATGTTATAGGCCTGTGGACAAAAAAAAAAAAGCAGAAAACTATTTCAGCATCCTCGTCAGGACTCTCCGTCAGCCCTCGCCAGAAGTTGTTGGAGAAGATTCTAGGTAACGCGCCAGCATCTTCCGAAGCCTTTCCCGGCCTCAGCCCTGCTAGGTCTCCACACAGAAGGGCCCGCCGGCCGGGAAGCAGGACCGCTCGCGCCGCAGCCTCTCCCCGAGGTGAGTGCCGCCCTCCAGAGCAGCCGCGGCGATCTCTAGACAAATCTGGGACGTGACATGAGTTCCCTGCGAGGCCGTCAGTAGTCGGTCACTCGAGCTCAGGTCTGAAGGTTGGCGGCCAGGCCTAGGAGGCTACCCCTGGAGGGCTCGGGCCCGTTATCCCCGCCCCTGCCCGGCCCGGTGCCGGCCGCTCCTCACCACGTAGGCGGAGCCGCCACTGTCCCCGCTGCGGGACTCGGTTTCAGGAATGGAAAAGTGCATGTTCCTGGCGGTAGGGTCCGCCGGGTTCTTGACTGTAAGGGTCGCAGAGGCTCTGCACGCTCGCCTCGGCTGCTCAGAGCGTCCCCGTAACCGCACTCGCCATCTTTAGGGGCCTGGACTCGAAGGTGGGGAGGTCGGACGTCCGCTCTGCAGCGCACCTCGTACAGAATGCTGGGAAATGTAGTCCAAAGGCAAGGTCAAGCCTCGCGATTTAGGGCCGTCTGGCCCTAAACAGGACCCGTAGGCCTGCTAGAGCCCAGTGCATTATAGAAGTTGTAGTTTGTTTGGAGCAGCTCGCGGTGAGTGCTGCGGCTCAGTCTTCAGATCTGGTGGTGCTGTAATTTCAGCTACTGCGGAGCAAGTCACAGTCGCGCCCTTGTGCCCACTGGGGGCAGAGCGGAGGACGGAGGGTGATGGCTGCGGTGGCTGAGGCTATTCGCCAAGGTGGGTGGAAAACTTGGGCGCCCAAATAAATGAGCCGACGGTCTCGGGGATTGGTGCCAGGCTTCTCTGGGCCCAGCCAGCCCGTTCGGGCCCCACTGCTGGCTTCTGATCTCCACTGCTTTGGTCGCAACCATGCGCCCTGTGCCGGATATTTTTTGAGAGAAGGGCGGGTGGCCCCACCTTTTTCTTTCCCCTCACCTTTCCTTTGATCCTGTGGCGCAGCGCGTCCCCACGCGGGGGATCTCTGGCTAGCCTCAGGCTCGGCGGCAGAGCCGTTGTCATGTCGTCCCAGCTGCCTGCTGGGTCAAACCCTCCCAAGCCCTCTTGGAACCCCTCCTGCTCACTTTGTGCTCTGTTTTCTGATGCAGACCCGGGGTCCGGGATGAAAGCGGAGCTTTGTGCTAGGCCTGGGGTAAGTTGAAGGGTAGCCTTCCGAGCCGCCTGTCAGGGAGCTGGTGGGAATTAGAGGAGATTTAAGAATTTATCCTGTAGCAATCTTGAACATATCCAATAGCGTTTATTATTTAAGTGTTGCTGCGAAGAGCAATATTTAATCTATGTGTACGTCTCTCAGGTAATGGGGAGGGAGATGACCCAAGAAGAGAAGCAGCAGCTCCGGAAAGAAAAGAAACAGCAGAAGAAGAAACGGAAGGAAGAAAAGGGGACAGAACCAGAGAGTGGGTCGACTGGATCTGCAGCCCAGAGTCAAGGTGTGGGGCTCTAACAAGGCTGAGAGATGGAGCTGAGAGAGAAGAAGTGTGATGGGAAGGGGCGGGGGGTGAGAAACAGGTCAAAGTGGAACTGAGCAAGTTAAGGGAGAAGTGATTTTGAGGGACTGGGAGAGGCTTTGGCTAGGACACAAATGTTGCTGACCTGGGGCTTAGACATCCCGTCATTCTACCTGTAGTAGACCCAACCAGAGAACTTCCAGAGGCCAGCAATCTGGTAGGCGCTCCTGGGGAGAAAGCTCCTGTTGGTCGGAGTAAAGCTGAACTTCGTGCTGAGCGGAGGGCTAAGCAGGAGGCAGAGCGAGCCCTGAAGCAGGCAAGGAAAGGTGAGCCAGGACCACCTCCTCCGGCCTGTCCCAGCAAAGCAGCGGAAGCCCCCTCAGGTATCTTCTCTTCATTTCAAGACTTCTATTACCCTTAATTCTTGTGTTAACTCTTTTATTCAAAGTAAAACCTCTTTCCTTTCCTTTTCTTCACTTTGAAACTCAGTTCAAAATTCTCCCCACCATCCTACACTTGTTCCATCTCCTCCTACCTTTTCATTGTTGTTTTCCCTGACACCCCTCATTCTACAAGAGCAAATTACCCAAATAATGGCTTACACGCTCTTGAGAACATAATCATTATCTTTTTAGGGGTGAAGCATCTCCCCGAACACACTCAGGTTGATGAACGCACACTTCAGAGAAGGCTTATGAAGAAACCAGAGCAACAACAGGTAGGAAATGAGCTTGGTATATGACCAGAAAGAATCTAGAAAGATAAGAGGGAAGAAAAATGTTCGGGACAAAGCGAAACCCTGAAGAAATATAGTTATTTGGGTCAAAGTCATTTCACTAATCATGTCTTTCCCAGTTTTATAGCTTAAGTTTTAAACTCTAGCCCACTTCCCTGTTTTGTCAAGGTTCCCACACGAAAGGATTATGGATCCAAAGTCATTCTCTTCTCCCACCTTCCCCAGTACAGCCGACAAAACTCTCTGACTCAGTATATGAGGTAAGAACTTCTGATATTGTGCTAACTTTTGCATTTGAGAGTTTTGAAAGTAATTGGAAACTTACAGTTGGCTTTGTGAAGAGAAAGAAATATGGACTCAAGGCAAAACTCTAGAAGGAATGGGGAAGTCTGTGCTAGTGAAGAAAGTTCCTTTTCATTAGGGGCACGTGGGCAGTAGCTGCTCAAGCTCCCTTGCAAAGTGTGTGACACAGCCATCCCATCAGCATCCCATCCTGTGTGATCCACCCAGCCATGGTTCAGCTCGGCCTGCAATACTCCCAGGGCCTGATCAGTGGCTCCAATGCCCGATGTATTGCCCTCCTCCGTGCCTTGCAGCAGGTATGTCCTATCCTGTTTCCTCTATAATCCAGAGCCCCTTCCCCAACACTGCCCCAGGTTTCCTTTCAGGGTAATCTTTGAGGGAAGGAATGAATGACTTAACCTTTAGAATACTTTGCTCAAGGAAGTCTATATCCCTGTCTTCCAGGGGCATTTTTATTGATCAACTTGTGTGCCCTATAGGTAATTCAGGATTACACAACACCACCCAATGAAGAACTCTCAAGGGATCTAGTGAATAAGCTAAAGCCCTACATTAGGTAAGCACAGCCACTAAAGTCAGCTCTCTCTTCCTCCAGTCATTGTCTTATACTCTTTCTCTTATTCCCCTCTTATTTTCTTTCTTTTCCATTGTTTTCTTTTAAAAAAAATTTTTTTAAAATGTGAATGCTTTGTAAGTTGTACAGAGTTGCACAAATGAAGGCATTGTTGTTGTAGCTTCCTGACCCAGTGCCGCCCCCTATCAGCGAGCATGTACAACGCCATCAAGTTCCTTAACAAGGAGATCATGGCTGTGAGCAGCGCCAAGCGGGAAGAAGAGGTAACAAGCAGGAGGAATGAAAATGGCATGGTAGCTGGGAGTAGAGTTAAGAAATATATTTAAGACAGTTGTCCTAAGAAGGGCTATGAAAACCAATCTTTCCAGTCAAGGGTTGAGGAAGTGGCTTGACACTCTGCCTCATGCCACATTGAAGCCTATCATTATACAGTTATTTAAATATCTGATGTGGTAATCAGAAAGATAATGTGTTCATTTCTAGGCCAAGTCCGAACTTCAAGTAGCCATTGATCGGTATGTGCAAGAGAAGATCGTCCTTGCAGCTCAGGCAATTTCACGTTTTGCTTACAAGAAGATCAATAATGGAGATGTGATCCTGGTATATGGATGGTGAGGTCCACAGCTAGATACTGGAGAGGGACGACTGGGAACACAGGAGTGTGGAGAGGGACAACTGGGAACACAGGAGTGTGAAATGATCTGGAAGAAGGGACTTATCCCCTTGACCCTTGAGAATGGCATTAGTTAGTAGCATTTATAGAGCTAAATCCTCCCCATTGCAGCTCATCTTTGGTGTCAAGAATTCTTCAGGAAGCTTGGGCTGAGGGCCGGCGGTTTCGGGTGGTCGTGGTGGATAGCCGGCCATGGCTGGAGGGAAGGCACACACTGCGTTCTCTGGTCCATGCAGGGGTCCCTGCCTCTTACCTGCTGATTCCTGCAGCTTCGTATGCACTCCCAGAGGTAAGGGCAGGGGAAGGGGACTCTAAGGTTGGAAATAAAAGAGTATAATAGTTTAGACATAATCTTATTTCCCTCAAGATTATAATTATTTAGAAATATTAGCTTTGTATGTGTTGTTTGTCCTTAATAGGAAAATCACCTATGACATAATTTAGCAAAATCTATCTATCATAAAGATGTTATATTAAACTAGACATGAACAAGAAGGAAAAGGGCAAAATTAACTTCAGAATTTAGTTTTCCTCAAAGTGTTTGGTAGGTAAGTGGTCAGGTATTTTCCAAGAAGAAGATCCATTGATTTATTATTTATTAGTGTTAATATGAGGGCTAGGCAGAAGTTGGGAACCTTATTCTGCATTGTATACCACGTGTAACATTTTTCCTCACTTGTAACATTTTTCCTTCTTCTCCACAACCCACAGGTTTCTAAGGTGCTATTGGGAGCTCATGCACTCCTGGCCAATGGGTCTGTTATGTCACGGGTAGGGACAGCACAGCTGGCCTTAGTAGCTCGAGCCCATAATGTGCCAGTGCTGGTCTGCTGTGAAACATACAAGTTTTGTGAGCGGGTGCAGACTGATGCCTTTGTCTCTAATGAGCTAGGTAAGGAGGCCCAGGAGGGCAGGAGAGAAGGTTCAAGGGGACCTGAGGAGATTGGAGAGGGAGAGGGGAGGCGAAAATGGAACTTGTTTTCTAAAAAGACATGAGTGTGTATACCTCCCATTGCAGATGATCCTGATGATCTGTTGTGTGAGCGGGGAGAACATGTGGCCCTGGCTAACTGGCAGAACTACCCATCCCTACGCTTGTTGAATCTGGTCTATGATGTGACCCCCCCAGAGCTTGTGGATCTGGTGATCACAGAGCTGGGGATGATCCCTTGCAGTTCTGTGCCTGTTGTCCTCCGAGTCAAGAGCAGTGACCAGTAGGGGTGTGAATACAGTGTCAATAAATGACATACTCACTACACTCAGCTATTCTGCCTTTGTATCTCTTTTAGTGCTACAGCCACATTAGTTAGGGGACTGTGTTCCCCAACTCTTCTTATCACATGGTACTGACCTCAAATCATGTTGGAACCTTTCTCAGGGACTCTAGCTCCGTACCAGTGCTTTGGAGCCAAAGTAAGGGTCAATTTGGAGACCAGAAACTTGAAGTCATCAGTCATTTATTGAGCATGTATGTACCAAACATTGAGTTTAGCTATGGGTAGGAATGTCAGGACAAATATGATTCCTTTCCTAAACAGTAGTGTAGCTAGTGGTTATTTAAGCCTTTTCTTACCTGTTTCGAAAGATTAGCACAACTCTATGAAGTAAAATTTCACAGGTGAGAAATACAAGTTACAGAGAAGTTACTTGCTCAAAGTAACACAGCTGGCTTAACCAGGTCCTTACCATTTATACTAAGACGTCCTGAAGGAAGAATTATCATGGAGAACAGATGTATAAGCTCTGTCTATGGTTTAAGATAAGTTCTCTTTGCGTAAATAAAATTCCCTGAAAGCACCCATGGATGATGCCACTGGGGCTTCTAAGATAAACAAAGCTACACAGATGAAATTTATGCCTTAAATTGAGTGGCCAGTTTCCAAGTGTCAAGCAGTATGGTGATGCTGGCACTGCAGCTCATGTGAAATGATAAAGATAGGCTGGGGCTAGATTGTGAAAGTCTTCTTAAGTCTGTGATTAATCTACAAACAGTCATCTAATTTGGTTGGTTGGTTGGTTGGTTGTGCTTTTTTGTATTATTGAAAAATTTCAAACAGCACAAAAATAAGATAAACTGTACAAAGAATCCCTCCCTACCAGATACAATAATTATCAAGATTTGTTTGCTTTTCCTGTTATTTTTTTAAATTGTGATTTTAACAAAAGTTTGCAAAAAGGTTGAGAGTTTTCTCATTCATTCATGTTGCACATTTTCCTCCCTCTCCCTCCCCCCTCCTTCCCGAGTCTACATTGCAATGTCCCCTTGTTCCAGATTCTTGTCATACATGTTGAAGTTATTTTAATACAAATCTCAGACATCACTTCACCTTAACATGTATCCCTAAAGTATAGGAACATTTTATATACTAATACTATCACATTTAATAATATTCAAAACATATTGCGATGGGAAAGTCTGCTGTTAGGGACCTCTCCAGGGTACTGAAGAGCAATGGTGTCACTCTGGAGACTAAGGTGCATCTGATACAGGCCATGGTCTTCGCAATCACTTGTTATGCATCAGAGAGTTGGACAATGACTAAGGAGGATAGAAGGAGAATTGATGCTTTTTGAGTTGTGGTGCTGGAGAAGAGTATTGAATGTACGTACCCTGGACTGCCAAGAAAACAAACAGATTCATCCTGGAGAGGGTTAAACCAGGCTGCTCCTTGGAGGCAAGGATTCTGAGGCTTCATCTGACGTATTTTGGACATGTTGCAAGGAGGGAGAGGTCCGTGGAGAGGCACATCATCCTTGGTAGGGTGGAGGGACGGCGCGAAGGGGAAGACCCTCTATGAGGTGGATTGATTCAGTGACTGGGGTAATCGGGATGGGTGTGTCAGAGGCAGTGCGATTGGCACAGGATAGAGCAGGGTTTAGGGCTGTTGTACATAGGGTCGCTATGAGTTGCAAGCGACTCGATGGCACATAACAATAACAATCCATAATCACATATCCTTGGTTATCTCAAAAATGGCTTTTACAGTTGGTTCTTACTAAAAATTACAATAAAAAAACCCCAATATATATTTGGTTAAGTTTCTTATAATCAAAAGCAGTTCCCTTCTCCCTTTTTCTCCTTTAACACTGATACTGTAGAAAGCTGGTATGTTGTATACAATGTCCCGTGTTCTGGATTTTGGTGTGCATGCATCTCAGTTAACTGATTTCCCTAACCTGTGAATTTCCATTTGACTTTGTAGACAAGAATGTTCCATAAGTGGTATATGCTTCACATTCCCTCCTATAAAGTGGCTGGTACGGTTCTCTGATTGATGAGTCCATTTTAAATTTTCCTAACAACATTTCTGGTGGCATGGTGGGTAGAGTTGTGTTACCAACTTAAACACCAGTGGGGTTGAATCGACTAGCTGCCCTTTAAGAGAAAGATGGTGATCTCCTCTTAGATTGCTGCCTCTTAAAAAATTAAAAAAAAAAAAAAAAGATTGCTGCCTCTTAAGTTGGTTCCAACTCAATGGCTATGAGTTGTTTTGAATAACATTTCCTTAGTGATTCATTTCTGGGTGTTTGTTACCTGAATTATTTCTTTAGCAGTTGCAAGGTGGTAATTTTTCCAATTCTGTAATTTTGTTTTTCATGTCTTAGTTGGTATCTATAAAGGATTTCTCCTCAATTAGGGCTATATAGTATTCTGAATTATAACTCATACTGAAAGACAAGATAAATGAATGCTTAATTCTTAAGAAAGACCTCTGGTGCTATATTCCATAAAGAGTTGCACTGCTGTCACACAGGGTGTGCCATTTTGCTTGTTTGAACACACCAGCAGCTACAAGGAAGAAAGATGGGGACTCTCCTCCTGTGGTATTTTTAGCTTTGGAAACGCAATAGAGGGTCAGCTATGAATCGGTTCTAACTCAACAGCAATGAGGTTGAGGGTAATCCTTAAGAGCTAGTCTCCAGTTTTGGTTGTGTACAAGTGACCTGCTTCAATGGAGTTGTTGTTAGGTGTCAAGTTGAGTATGACTCATAGCGACCCTATGAACAACAGTGCTGAATCCTGTCCTATCCTTTGCCATCTTCATAATCTCTAACACACTCAAGCCCACTGTTGCAGTCTTTGTGTTAGCCTACCAGGTTGAAGGTCTTCCTCTCTTTCACTGACCCTACACCCTTCCAAGCATGATGTCCCTCTCAAAATAATAGTCTCTCCTACCAACATGCTCAAAGGATGTGAGATAAAGCTTTATCATCTTTGCCTCCAAGTGCACTCTGGCTGCACCTTCTCTAAGACATATCTGTTTGTTCTTCTGGCAGTCCATAGGTTGTTCAGTGCTCTTCTCCAGTATCACAGTTCAAAGGAATCAATTCTTCTTCAGTCATCCTTATTCATTGACCAGCTCTCAGATGCATAGCAAGTGAATGGCCTGAATCAGGTGCACCTTATTCCTCAAACTGACATTATTGCTCCTCAGTAATTTGAAGAAGTCCTTGACTGCAGACTCCTGGTGCAATATGTCTCCTGATTTCCTGATGAACTTGTTGACAATTTCAACCTTTTCTCTTCCTTCCTGATGTTGCCTATAGGTCCATTGGTGAAATTTTAATGTTCTTGATGTTGAGGTGTAATCCATACTGAAGGCTGTATTCTTTGATCTGCAGTAATGCAGAAACTGCTTCAATGGAGTAGTTGTTGCTTTTCCATCTTACTCTCCTTTCTTTCTTAAGGAGCATTATGAATTTATGGGTTTTCATATATCCAGTAGGTACCACTCAATCATCAAAATTAAGTAATGGATCAGTAGATTCAGTTGTATGCTTCAGAAAGTGTCTGACAGAGATTAGAGGGAAACATATGCATCACTAAGAGATTACTGCTTTCCAGTCAAAATTACAAGTGCACCTGGTCTTTGACACAGTAATTCTATTTTTTGTTTTTTGAGGTGCTCTGGTGACTTAATGGTAAGGAGTTGCACTGCTAACCCAAAGACATGCAGTTTGACTCTGGCAGTCTCCTGTGTGGTTTATTGGCTCTGGAAACATGCTGCAGGGTCAGCTATATTATTAGGTGCCATCGTGTTGACTAAGACTTATGGCAACCATATGAAAAAGGGCTCCAAGCCTTGCCCCGTTCTAAACAAACCTCACTGTCTCTGACAGCCCTAACCCCATTATCACAGTGACTATCAATCCATCACATCCAGGATCTTCCTCTCTGATGCTTTACCCTTCCAGGTATGATGTCCTTTCCCAGGGACTGGTCCCTCCTGGCAGCATGCCCCAGGTATGTGAATCAGAACTTCAAAATCCTTGCCTCCAAAGAGCAACCTGGTTTTACCCTCTCTAGGACAGACCTGTTCATTCTCTTGGAAGTCCATGGTATGCTCAATACTCTTATCCAGCACCACAGCTCAAAGGCATTGATTCATCTTCTGTCATCCTTAGTCACTGTCCTGCTCTCAGATGCTTAGCAAGCAGTTGAGAAGACCATGGCTTGTATGAGGTGCACCTTAGTCTTTAGACTGATATCATTGCTCTTTAACACCCTGGAGAGGGCCATGACAGCAGATTTTCCCAGAGCAACTGATCTTTTTTTTTTTTTTTTGCAACTGATCGTTTGATTTCCTGACTACTAGCATCAAAGATGTTGACTATAGGGAGCTTAGGTAGACTAGTGGTAAAGAAGCTGCACTGCAATCCGGAAGGCGTGTGGTTTCAATCCACCAGATGCTCTGCTGGAGAAGGAGGGGCAATCTTCTCCTATGCCTGCCAGATTCAATTTGACAGTACACAACAAGAAAAGAGAAAACCCCAAAACCAATGCTGACTATGGTTCTAAGGAAGATGAAATCATTAATAATCTCATTCATTTTTCCATCTATCATGATGGTATCTATCTGCTGACCTGGTGGTGAGGATTTTGGTTTTTTTGATGTTGTCATGCAATCCATATTGAAGGCTGTAGTCTTTGATCTTCTGCAGCATCTGCTGCAAGTCCTTTTCAGTTGCAGATATAATTGTATTTAAAGTAACTTAGGTATTGTTGTTGTTATATGCTATTGAGTCCCTTGCGACTCATAGCAACCCTATGTACAACAGCCCTAACCCCTGCTCTATCCTGTGCCAATCACAATGCCTCTGACACACCAATCCCGATTACCCCAGTCACTGAATCAATCCACCTCATAGAGGGTCTTCCCCTCCTGCGCTGTCTTTCCACCCTCCCAAGCATGATGTCCCTCTCCAAGGACTTGTCCCTTTTTATAACATGTCCAGAGTATGTCAGACGAAGCCCCAGAAT